GGGCAGATCATAATCAGGTTCGGTATCGTCGCCGACGAAGAGCTCGTGCGAAGCCCATAAGGCAGGGCAGATACCGCTGTCAGATAACTTCCCGTGATGATCTCCATGACGCCGGGTCTCCGAACATTGCGATAGGTTGGGGTAAGTCACCGACTGCGATTCCCATGGGCTACCCATGTGGTTGGAAGATGGGTCGCTACAATGAGGCTCGTTGCCACATTGCGGTCCATCGTATGCAAAGTGTTTCTTCTTCATCGGGCCGTCAGGAAATAGACACATGCAACACCATCCAATGCGAGCTTAGCGGCAACCGCCGCTACGCGACACTCAGCAGTCGCAATATTGTTGGGGGTATGCACTACAATGATGCTGTCAAGTCAACCCCTGCTACCTCCTAGGCAAAGCTGAGTTTCTCCGCTCGATCGTGTCACCTGCAGCACCCAAATGCGCGGGGTGAGGTGCGGAGTGTAGATTCCGAGTACTAGAACAATTCTTGTATGATCCTGTTTGGCGATGATCCTCTCAGGCATTAGATGCATTTTGTTTCATGGTCGGTGACGTTAAGTGCTTACTTGATTAGTTAGGGTAGGAGTCTAGGGGCTTGAAGTGGGTGGGGAATGGGGGCGGATGAGGAATGCAGTTTCCCCGCCTCACGTCCCCGACCCCCGATGTTCATGCGCAACGTCGTAGGGCTGCATTCACTGCAACTTCCCGGTCAATACCCCCCATCCCACGGCATAATGGCATAGCTCCAGAGAGTGAATCGCAGGATGTTGGCTTCGTTTCTTCGTGCCCTAGTAGATCAAGTCTATCTGAATCGCAAGCGTAGGATAAGTTCTCAGTACGTAGGTAACCAAGCCCCACGTTTTAGTGCACTGCGCTTTCACATTAGCGCACTCATCCCATTAACGGGCTTCTTGACTCGCCTCACTCTCAATTGGTCCCCAGCTTTCCTATGCTAGGTCCGAAGCGACTGCGCGTATCGATCGAAGTCAGAACTAAGACTTCTCTAGGATGAACCCTCTTATGGTCCAGGAAGTGGGCCACTCCCAATGGCTCGATTTGAACCTGATCATGTAGAGAAGCATACCTCACCGTTGCCGCATTGCTGCTGCGGCATCAAGTCTGTCGGCATCGATTGAATATATAACCCTCACCAAGATCTGATGGAAGTAGGCACATCCTTACAGTCATCAGAGTCTTGTGCAACTTGTAAACCTCGCAATGCTTCATACAGTGTCTCTCCTAGACCTTCCAGGCGAGCTTCAGCAGAGAGTGGTCGAACATGTACGTTAGTGGCGGGTAGTCTTCCCGGCCGCTCATACTAACCGCGACAGGTCACAACACAGACAGATCTCAAATCGCTGTGTATGACTTGTTCAGCTCTTCGCGTCCTCGCTAATCCGATACTGTATAGACGCATTGACTTGCGTTTATGGAGTCAACGAGCGGTTGAGTGTCTGCAGCGTTGCAATTTAGCAGGCGCAGGTCTGAACCTTCAGTACACGAAGGAGCTCATCGTAGAAGATGAACCCGTTGGCGAAGAACTCAGATCGATCCATACCGGCCGTATCCGCCTACCCACTCCAGATCGTGGACCTTGGAACCGCTATCTCACCGAGTCTCAGCAAGATGATAGTGCCTATTCCTTCTTGCAGATCATGCATCATGACAAACTGGAGCGCTTATGGTAAGCTACGCCGAGTATGAACTGATGTCTTGGAAAAGCTTATGAGATCAGTTACCATTCACGGCGCTCTCTATCACCGATTGTGAAAGCGCATCTCAATGGATACCAGCACAGATTGAAAGACCTGCAAATAAGCTTTTATACTGATCCCAAAACGCCTGAGCAACTACCACGAATATTCTGTGGTCTGCAGCGTCTCGACCTATATCTCACAGAGTCAACAAATATCGCCCTTCTATTCGATAACATGGAAGCCGTAGGCGCCAACTTGAAGCGTTTATCCTTGACGGCAGCAGATCCCCAGACAACCGAGAATCAGCTATATGCCTGGGCGATGGGCAAACAGAACGACCTCACCCGCTATACACCTCGACTCGAAGAGCTCAGATTATCTAAGATGGACTTCTCAGACACATTTGAGCAGCTATCTCAGATCATCGACTTCCATCGATTGATTCGCCTCGAACTCCTGGTAGAGAGCTGCGGCCTTCACCTTTTCATAAAGGATCTGGCCAACAGCATATATACTGGCAGTAGAGAGGTGAACAGGCTCCAGTTGAAGCATATCGCCGTCGAGTTTGTGCCCGATCTTGATGAGAGTGAAGCAATCGACCTCAGGGATGCTATGGAACTCATCATCACCGCTTGCGGCCCAATCGAGAGCTTTCATATGCGTTACCCAGAAGCCAACCCCCTCAAGATCACCCTACTGGATTTCTTGCAGGCGCTCAGTCTGTCCAATCACAACTTACAGAGCCTGAACATCTATTGCGATGAGTTCGAGACGCTCCAATGGGATAGAGTGGCCTCAGATCTATTACAGTGGGTTTCTGTAAGCTCCTTGAGTAAGGTGAAACAGCTTGCAGTGTACTGTGGCGAGTCAGCGATGCTTGGTGGAGACGTGACAAACGAGTATACTACACTGTTGGTGAGTGCAAACGGTTTCGCATGTTCACACAGACGAAATTATGAGAAAGTTATCTGACGTGAAAATAGCATTCTTTGAGAAGGTTTCCACAGCTACGCCTACTACACCTCCACGTACCGGACTGCGATCGCCTGGGAAGAAGCGAACACAATTCCAACGCTGAGTGGGATTCCTCGATATTGTCTATGCAGCTGCAAATTTTCGCCAACCAGCTCTTCGGGGATTTGCATGGAGCGGGCGCGAAGCTAGATGCTTTGGTCATTGGACATTTGGCGACGGTCGAGGCGATAATTACCGATGCAGACTTTGTGATTCCGCTTCCACAGCAGTGTTTCGTCAAGGGCGAGCAAAGAGACATCCTCGGCCGTACTGTTGCTGTCGGCGTACCTGTTACGAGGATGATGTTGCGAGCAACTCAGCCGTACACGGACATTCTGGATATCGACCATCCTAGGACACATGATGCGTATGATGCGTGGGCAGGTAAGGCAATGTGAGGGTTTGGCCTTTACGACAAAGCCTGTACACCTTCAAAGCGTAGCGATGTAGCGTTATCGATCACCTTTGCGCTATTTCATAGGCAATCGCGTCGATTAGTACCGAATAAAGTATTTTTCCCACACTCAACCTGCGGCAGACTGATAGCATGCGTCCACCTTCATATAGAACTTCCAGGTTATGACTGACGTCGTGAGTGCGATGAGACGCGACATATGCTAATGGCACTATACCGTAGGATATGTGCACTGCAACTTTAGGCGACCTAGCCGGCGACGGCGATATGTCGTTGATATAGACTCCTTCTAGAAGATCTAAGGTTGCGGAGCCGTGGGTCGTGTGTCGCACCTCGTGTTGGCGAGAGTGGGGCGTGCCTGTATCCGGGTACAGCACCCGCTCAACCAGACTTCCGGTACCAAGGCCTTGCCACGATGGACATATCCTTAACCGAGCATATTGGACATGGATGCTTGTATGGAGAAGTGCGAGAATTCGGTCGGCCAATCTACCTAGTGTTCAAGAATACCAAGCCTGCAGCACGAACTAAGTGACCGTAAGGATTGTAGAGCCATGTTTGATCAGACGACAACCAATAACATAATCGAGGTTCTCAGGAACTAAGGAATTCGAGCAAAGCTTTCCGAAAAGTCGTCGTTCATCTTGTAGCACGACGTTTCATAAGTTACTCCGTGGGGCTGGAAATATCCATACCACGTGGTAGAGTAGCTGAATGTTTCGTCTCTTGGGCGCATCAGATCAATCATCATTATTTTGATTATCATCTTCGGTACTGGTCATGATTCCCGTTGTCAACCATTCTTATCCTCATTCCTCCCTGGCCAGACAATCTCTCTCTTCCAAACAGCCCTGACACATCCCACGACCGTCACCAACCAGATCACTACCAGTAGAGCGGTCATCACACTCGCCACCCACAGTATGCCCTCACTCTCCAACTCTCTACCCAACAAACTTGTACTAAGCGTGAACCCCACATTCGGGAAGATGAAAGCCCACCACGTCAGACTAAATGGCATCTTACCCATAACACCGACGTTCCCCAAAAACGCAATGGCAAAAAGCCAGAAAGCAAATATATATAGGAAGATACCTGTAAACAACGCTAGGACGCGTAGTATCTCGGGCGCAGCAGGATGTCTCACAAAGTAACTTGCATCCTCCGAAACCGCATTCGCGAGACCAATCAACGCAACAATCGTATACGCACAACTCCCCACGGGAATAAACAACCCCGGGCGCAATTGCGCAGGAGGAAACCCATGATCCAACACATTCCTCACATATGCCACAACAGCAATGAAGCTGATACACCATCCAAACCCCTGATACGCAACCCCACTCACCACAACCCCATGACGCGATGGGCCGGCTGCGTGCCCGCAACCATACTCGCCACCGTGCCCGTCAACATGGCCGAATACCCCGCTAGGAAAATACTAGGCAAGTATGGCACCGGCCTTAGCTTACTATACGCAATAAGGATCCAGTACTGGAATATGCTATTCGCCAGAGACAAAGCAGCGTATACCCAATATAAGACGTGCACAGCGTCGACAAGCCAAGGGTAGGGCGGAGAAGAAGAAGAAGAAGAAGAAGAAGAAGAAGAAGAAGAAGAAGAAGAAGAAAAAAGGACCGTGCGTGATACCATAGGTTTGGATACCGGCTAGGATCACGCTCAGAGAGAGCCAGAAGGAGCCTAGGAAGAGGGATTCCTGCGGGTGCAGAAACGAGGATGCAAAGTGTGCGGGATGGTGGATGAGCCGCAGGACTGTGCAGGTGCAGAGCACGAGGAAGAGTAGTATGTTGGCCAAGAACATGGTTAGACCGATATGGTAGAGGCCTGCGAGGTGGGGAGGGGGCATGTCAGTTGGCTTCTTCGTTCTTTACGGGTGAGAACGGCGGAGAATAGGGATGTGGGGGGAAAGGGTTATTACCAGGGAATTGATGCGGTGTATCGGCGAGGGCTAGAGCCAGACCCCCCGTACTCATTGTAGAGAGGAACCAGGCGAACGTAAAGTGCTTTAGGCGTTTGCGTATGCCAATCTTGCCATCTGGTTGTTTCTGCTCTTGCGGTTGTAAGGGTTCGGGTTTTGACGACATTGCTGTGTCGTTTTCCGATGGTGGCGTACCCATCTAGAACTCTTTTGCCCGTTGTTGTTGTTGTTGTTGTTGTGATGACGGTGGAAACGGTACGATATGTGCTTGGTGTTGTGATATTGTGGAGACTGTGGTGACCCATAGACGACGTGCGACGGGATGTGGTTGCTTAGGTATAGTGGAATGGCATCTCAGATCACTGACAGAAAGCTTGTACGCAGGACAGAGTCGTCGTTGGGTGCAGCTTCCGATGGCCTATCACATTATGATGACTTCCTTGTCAAACTTAGTATCGTGAGATGCCCAATGATGGAGTCGCGGAGTCGTGCTTGGGAACATGACGCGCCACGGCTTTGTTTCCGGCCCCTCTCTATTCCCGGAGCCACAACAAACCCTCTATATTAGCCAACCGAGATACTTCCTCATGGGAACCTGTGCAACCGTGCGTTTACCAGCATTCTCTCTTCTTCTGAAATTACTACAAAAATTACTCTCGGGCTACTCATGCCACCTTTTGGATCTGATCCTTCGCCTGCTCCTTTGCATGATTCTTCTTCTCAATAACCTTCCACTTGATATCCCCCGGCTGCGGCCACCGATAATTAACCGGACTCTCACCACCCACAAAGATGCAAATATCATACATCAAACCACCACACAGCGCGCCTGCAATGCTTGCGCCCCAGCTTCCATATGCCCAATACCCATTCTCAAAGGCTGAATCATATCCAACCCACAGTCCGATGAGTCTTGGACCAAGATCACGGGCGGGCGAAATACCTAACCCGGTGTTGTAACCTAAGCCGACCATGGTGACGAAGCCGGTAAGGCCAACGACAAAGGCTGTCATTCCTTGGCCCGGAGGACTGTTCTGGTCGTCTCCCAGCGCGAAGATGACACAGACGAAAATAGCCATGTAAACGAAGTCATTGAAGAAACCAGTCGCGGTGGAATACAAAGGACCCTGGGGGAAAAGCGCTTTGCCGGTCATCTCGAGGGTCAGACCAGGGTCGACATGGTGAATGGCGTCAGCATAGAGTCTGTCATGTTGTCAGCGAATTTAGGTAATGTACAGGTAGGTGAGACTGCTCACGCGTATGCTACGGCGCCGGCGGCGAGTCCAGCGAGGAGTTGCATGCATATGTAGACGATGGCCATTCTCCAGGGGAAACCACGGTAGACGGATAAAGAGATGGAGATTGTGGGACTGAGATGCGAACCACTGACGCCGCCGCCAAGGTAAATGCCGATCATGACTGCGAAGCCCCATCCCCAGGCTTGGGTTTCAAAACTACCAGTGCTTTGTTGGGACGTAGCGACAGAAAGATTGACGCAAAGTCCAATAAGCAGGTAGACGAATGTCTATACATTATTAGCGGAATCAATGACGCGATAGATGGCTGAACTCACAGCAAGGAACTCGGCGGGCGCCTGAGGATACTTGGCCCGAAGCCTAGCGATGGGGTTTCGATACTGGTTGTAGAACTCGCGTTCCGCCGTCTCTTCTCGTTGTTGGATCTCCTTCTCTTCCTGCTTGGTTTGAGAGGTAGCATTCGTATCATGCTCCTGCAGTGGTGGAAGACCGTCTTGTAAACCAAAGTGCTGCCGGTCGCCACGTCCATCAGCGTAGTCCAAACCGTGTTCATTGATAGGCGCACGGTCTTGACCATCATGATGCTCATGGCTGCCGGGGTCTTGACCGCGATTGCGGCCGAGGAACTGGTCAGCTTCACTTGTTGGCACGCGCCTCATGTTGACTTTGCGTCCGTCAACAGTGGTCTGGAACTGAGAGGGATCTCGTCCCGGCTGCGGGCGTTGTCCACCGCCGAGCGTGACTTCAGAGTCTTCCGAATCTTCCTCCAAAACTGTCCATGGTCTGATTAGAATCGTTACTCTCAGTGGGGATCAACCTAACAAGGTCCGCGAAGACTCACCTTTTCCATCTGCATAGTCCTGCTGGGCGACGCCTTCTGCATCTTGGTCGTCGACCTTGTACAAAGACTTGCGCAGGTCACCCCTTCCCCACCACATACCCTTGCGAACAGTGCGTGGTAGAGGCGCACCCAAACCAAAGACTGGTTTTGACTTTTGCTCATTGTACCACGGGTTCAACGAAAAGTAGTCATTGTCAACGTCCACGACCTGCTGTTGCTTCTTCTCAGGTCGTCGAGGAGGTTCTTGCCTGACATTCTCACGGGTTGCCCGGCTCTTTCGAGCAGTCGGCGTATTCCGAATAGAGCCCATGTGTGTCATGCCTGTGTTAGCAGTATCGGTACGCGCATGGTCGGGTCGTGAATCTAGACGAGTTGTATTGCTCCGCACATTTTCAGGTCTTGACTCCAAGTGGGCAGTTTCACGTCTTGCTATGCTTCCCACACTGGAGTGGTTTTGTGCAAGACCCGGTGGCTGGTATGATGCCGTAGTTTGCTGTCTCCGCTGAGACATGTCTCCTGGTCTTTGAGGCTCAGCATCGCTTTGTTGTTGCGCTGCGTGAATGTTAGGACATAAAGATCTGGGGAGTATTGGATGACTTACTGTCTTCGGCTTGGTTCTTTTGTTGTTGTGCCATTTTGTTGTTGTATTCTTTCTCCTCCATGTCTCGGGATGAGAACTACCTAACAAGCTTATATCCGATGTGTAGGGAACTTGGAAGTAAACCAGGGGCATGGGAGGTGCTAAATGGAAAAGATGGTAAAAAAGTGCGTCCGCGATTAAGCCATGGGAAAGTGAAGAATTCGATGCGTAACGTCACTTGCAAGGAAGCTTTTGCCTAGTTCGCCCACGCCCCCAGTATTTCGGAAGGACTCTCGCTGACGCGGTGCTGTTCCTGCCAATCGTTCGAGTTGATTTTCACATTGAGTGGATATGTACCGTTTGCGGTACCCAAGTTTTAGTGGACATGTCCTGATAAGAAGGGTTTCATCTCGATCTTCAGGGTTGCGGTAAGGTGTGGCGTCGTGTGAATCGTGAGATTGCTGGACATCGGCATCTTTACAGTGGGTCGCGCGGACGTTCCGCGGACCTGCAATCTTTGTTGTTGACACAAGTATGGCAATGGAGTGACATATAAGTTTCGGACAAACGAAAGAGTCATCAAAACTCGCCAAAAAAGTGCAGTAGGGACGGGATGCATGAAATGCGAAGGGAATTCAGATGTAGATCACCCGAGAGCCACCAGGGCCAATGAGCTTTTTTGAGGCTCAAAGAGCCGCACCGACCCGTGCGAAGTAGCGGCGACACTGACTCTAACGGGTTGTTCCCAAAACATCACACCAGCCACACTTGATGAATACAGCGTTTAGGGGCACACGGATGGAGAGGTCGCCTTGTCACCACGATCATGCAGGCGCACGCGCTATTTCTTCGTTATGTGGAGACTCGGCCAACATTACTAAGTTTACCCGATGATTGTCCTGAGACATTACCATCCTTGGGCTGCTACATTGCTGTACTTACACATGCAACATCCATGCGCTGCAAGAGCTCCAGTGGCTGCGTAAGCTCCCGCCGCCGCCGCGGTGTGGTAGTACATATCGGGCTCAAATTAGAGGTCCGAGCTTTCTGATGGTCGTTGGATAGAAAGCCTTTAGCCAAGCCCCGTCCAACGACTCCAACTCGCAAGTGTTCCTGCTGGTCACGTTGATCCGGATGCTCATGATACTGCCATTAGCTTGTTCTGCTCCTGGGCCAATGTCAAGCCTTCGGGTGCTTGTCGGAACAAGACAATTTCGGACTGCTTGAAGTATCGGCGCGCGTCTACGAAGAGTCAGTCAGTCAGTCACAGTTGTGCATGTGTGTGGGTGCGCCATACCTTCGTCGATGAGTACCAGACTCAAGTAGTAGCGAGTGGAATATTTCTTGTTGACTTCGCGGAAGGTGGGTGTCAGGTCGAAGCCACCAAGGAACAACCTGATGGGTATGGTTTCACCTGGAGTCTTGTCAGTCATGCTCACTGCAGATGCGTAGCTGTGCGTACCTCGCGAGGGCGAGCCGTCCATGATCTCAAAGCGCACTAGCGTCTCGCTCTCGTTGTATTGGTTGGGGGCAGCTCCTGTTGTCTCTCTCCGTATGATGGACAGCTCCATATGCTTGATCTTCAGCCGGACGAGCAAGAAGTATATCCTGCCGACAATGACATCCTTCAAGTGGTACTTTGACTTGCTGTATTCGAATTCAATGTGTAGACAGTCCTCGATGCCGACGTCCATCTTGATGGAGCTGTTGGTCTCGGGCGGGATGCGGTACGAGTAGACCCAGAGGTCCTTCTCCCTGACCACGTCTGCCATCCTCCGCGATACCGTGACGCGCACAAAGTAGCGCAGCTTGACGTTGATGCCATTGTATGATTCGTACTGCTTCTCCACGTTCTTGAAGTTGAAGTCGAACGTCTGCGGGTGCTGGAGCTCGCCGGGGGCTGCTAGTTCCTGGCCAAGGGAGAGGAACTCGTAGTGGTTTCCGCGATCGAAGAACATCTCTGGCGCATCATGTCAGCATCCTCCCTTGTACCCAATGAGTTGAATGCATGGGTTGGCGCCTACCAATGGTACCGATGAATTGCACCTTGATGCCCGTGTGTTCCAGCCGCTTGCCATCCTTGGGTCTTACCGTGACCTGGCCCTTGACAGATTCGCCATCCAGATACAGCGGCACCTTTTCTTTGCGGTTCTTGTCCAGCTTCACATCCACGGCAGAGCGGTCGTCGAGGTCCTCGAGCACAATGTCGATGTCGACGGGGGTGGAGAAGAAGTACGACATGCTGGCGACGAGATAGCCCGATGTGTTGGCGAATTATCCTGATGCGCGAGATGTCCCAGTGTGTTGGCGCGTCTTCGGATGGTCGTGGAGAGCTGCGCCCCAGATGCCGTCGCAGGAGCTGATGACGCGCTTGTCCCCGTTGAGCCCGTCACGTGAACGCCAGCCTGCCCCGCCTCCCCCCGATTCCTCCCCATCATCAACGCCCTCGTCATATCGACACCCATCCTTGTTTCCTCCTGACTGGATCCACGTCACGTCTCACTACATGTTTGTCGTCACATGGTCCTCCACATTGCCGTTCCGAAGTGGGCGGACATGACCACCTGCACAGGACGAACGCGTTGTGACTGATCGGATACATGCGCGTCGTGACTGACTGATCGGATACACATGCCCATGTCTGCACCACACACGCCCAGCACCCACTCCGTGCATCTGCCGGATCCCGCCCCAAACATTGTTCGCAGCCTCGATCCTCACCGGCCCGAAGTCCTTTCGGATTCCTCGCCTAACCCCCACGCGCCATTATCAAACAGCTTCGTACCACGAGTCAAAGCGGTGAGCTGAAGATTTATTTTTTGCTGCCAGAAACCTGGCCGAAGCGCAGCCTGCTCACCACAGCGCCATGCAGTTGCCTGGCGCCTCGAGCTCAATCCTGCCGTGGCACGTCGTGGCTATTGGCGTGTGGGATGCATAAGTACCTGAGAAAGGACTGGGGTCGGCATGCGGGGAGGCAGATGCGCTACTCGTCATCCCACACGCGACAGGTCCACTTTCAAACGCCGAAGTTCATCCTCTCCAGGCCCGGCTTCGCGGCTGTTACAGCCGGCTGGGCCTGTTACTGAGGCTAGCTGCACGCTTCTGCTTGCCATTCGCTGTTTCCCTTTTGGAGCGTGCCATCGTGCCTTGGCTCCCAGAATATCGACAAGTTCCATCGCATCCCACCCTTGCCGTTGCCGTCATGGCTTGCGGGAGAAATTTCCAGACGTGTTCCCCAGGTGCGACGCCTTAAATGCACCACGCCCCAGCAAACGTCGGGGTTGCTTACCGCCTGCATACATACATCTCGTTTCACCCGTATCGCAATATCGTATATTAACCCAGCCGAACACCCATCCCAACGTACTTGTGAGCCCAACTCAATCACTAGCGTCATACAAAACCCCCCCAAACGTTCTACAAACACTCATCTCCGCAAACCGGTTCACTCAATCGCTTCTACAACCATGATGCAAACCGTGGATCCATCGCAGCCAAAGCCCATACAATATGCATCACCGCCTTCTCCGCCTGCTTCCAATACCGGCTCACCAAAGTCAATGTCCGTCCTGAACGCTACCGAGACGGACAAAATGACAATCTCAACCCACCACCACATTCTCATAGTCACTGGCCCAGCAGGATGCGGCAAGAGCACTGTTGCCAAGCACCTTTCAGATCGTTATGGATTCGACTACATTGAGGGCGACGAGGTTAGTTGAAACCCATCCCGCATTGACCATGTACTGACGTCTTCTTAGTTCCACCCAAAAGCAAACATCGACAAGATGGCCGCCGGTATCCCTCTAAACGACGAAGACCGCTGGGACTGGCTCATTCTTCTACGAGACCAAGCTATTATGAAGCTCAAGGACGGGGCCAAGGGTGTTGTCGTCACTTGCAGTGCGCTCAAGAAGAAGTACCGCGACGTCATCCGCACAGCCAGACTCTACGACGAAGACCCAAATGCCAATGTACACTTTGTCTATCTCCGCTCCGACCTGGAGACCCTCATCGCCCGCGTCCGCGCCAGAAAAGGCCACTACATGAAGGACTCCATGGTCGAGAGCCAGTTCGCTTCGCTCGAGGAGCCTGACGAGACCGAGTGCAAGCAGCTGAAGGATGTCGAGATCATCGACGTCAAGGGAAGCATACAAGACGTTCAGGTCCTGGCTGGAGCTGCTGTCGACAAGGTCCTGGCGCAATAGCGTTCCGCCCGCAGGATCAGCCGGCTCTGATTTCTCATCGCGAACTATCCTCTTCCTTAGCTTAGATGTTCGGACGCAATGTTTGGCGAGTTGCGCCGATGTGTTAAGCGTGGGTCGCATCTTCGTCTTTCTTTCCTATGGCGTTTGTTATATCACTATACCCTCGCGAGACGAGCCAGCATACATTGGTTAGCGAAGATGAATTTTTTTTTTGATTCATTATGGGAAATTCAGGTTCTTCACCGTTCTTTGATTGTTTCGTTGATTAAAAATCGTGCCGAGTATCGTGTGTTGTTTAGCTCGAGCACGTAATCAAGCGTGCTTAGCAATCCAACCCCCCTTCACGCCGGGCGTCTTTCCAAACATCAGCTGGATCGAGTATAAAGAAGCGATCCCACTCATTCTCTAAACAGATCACGATGCTACAAGCGGGATTCACAAGAAACCATACTCTCCTCTTCATCTTTTTCTTGACTGCCGTTTCCTACCTATTTGCAAGACGTCCAACCATGTCTTCTCCTTCCACTACCCAAACAGCGCTCATCGTGTCCAGCATTGGCGGCCGCATAACCTCAACATCATCCTGGCCCATCCCGCGCCCAGGACCCAAACAAGTCCAAATCCGCGTCACAGTAGCCGGCCTCAACCCTCACGACCAGAAGTCGCGGGACGCAGGGCTGCTCATAAAAGACTCACTACCCGCCATCATCGGCAACGACATCACGGGCGTCGTGACAGCGGTTGGAGAGCAAGTCACCAGGTTCAGCGTGGGCGACAGAGTGGTGAGCCAGAGTCAATTGGCCTACGAGCAAAAAGCACTGCAGCAATTTGCTGTCCTTGAGGAAGATTTTGCGGCAAAGATACCGCACCCGTTTTCTGATCACGATGCTGCTACACTTCCTACAAACGCTCTTGCTGCACTTATAAGCCTGTTTGACCCCACCAGTGGCCTGGGTATTCCGGCCCCTTGGAGCAGCAGCAGCAGATCGTCGTTTGATTATGCAGCAACTACACTTCTTATTGTGGGCGGCGGAAGTAACTGTGGTAGATTCGGGGTGCAATTTGCAAAGATGGCGGGCATAGGACGGATAGTCGTTGTTGGGGGAGAAGAAGAGGAGCTAAAGAAGTGGGGTGCGACAGTCGTTTTGGACCGACACGGTGGCGATGCCGCCGTCATCCATCGCATCAGACAAGTCGTCGGCGACGACCTGGTCTATGTTTTCGACGCCATCAATCTGCCCGAGGGACAACATGTCGGGATTAGTGCTTTGTCTTCTTCCCAGAGGGGCAAGCTCGCGCGCTTGCGTTCTTCGGTGGGAACGGTCGACGAGACCAAGATTGTTGGGGAAAAGAAGGCTGGATATGAGTTGAAGAATGTGCTGGGCATCTCGCAGTTGAAGCCAGATGTCGTACGCCCCTTTTGGGAGGGGCTAGAAGGGTACCTGCTGGATGGGAGTGTGGTGCCACTCAAGTACCAAGTCATTGACGGGCTGGATGCGGATAAGGTCAATGAGCTGTTGGACAGATACCGTGACGGTAAAAAGGTTGTTCAGACACATTTCAGAGTGTCGCAGTAGAAGTTGCCATTGATTAGTATTGTGGAAATATCATTAGGAAAGCATAATTCGTGAACTAAGATATGAATTCGTAGAGAGAAATAGCCCAATCCAAAGACTTTGGAACGTTAATCGAGCTTGCAGCTAACGGTCGTCACCCTCACCAGATTTATTTGTTGTAGCTTGTCGGAAAGATCTTCCCTGTGCAAACTTCTTCGGTCGCCTAGCGGGCGTTGGGCACGTGTGTGATTACTGATACCGGTGCCATGGGACCTTAGGACTCTCGCCCCACTTGGGGTTCCAGAAAAGGACGTATAACCCGTCCGCGAAATATGCGGGTGATGCACCAAACGCCGATTTTCTGTGGAACCGTCGCATGTTGGGCTACTTGCCGAATTTCTTAGTTGCGTTACTGATCGTCGTAGCGCACTGCTCTGTCGTTCGAAACTCAACGTTGTGATTCTTTAGTTTAGGACAGGTTGTCAAACACGATTGCACTTTCTGAGGCTGCAGCGATTGAAGCGCTTCGATTGCAGGAAGGCTGGCTGCGCAAGCGCGTTGTACAGTCGAGTTCGATTGCCCTGGCTAACTGTGGGCGCATTGTTGATGTCAAGCGGCAATGGAGTAGACGAGCGTGCTCGTCATAGTAAAGAGCGATGGAGGGCAATCTGTATAAGCAATTGGCACATGAATGTGAACGCGTGTAGTGCCAGGGTCAGAGCCATAGTTGTACTCATACAGGCTTCAAAGAAAGCAAACATCTAAGAGAGTGTTTATATCTACACAGTACGTCGTCATCGCAACGTTGAGGCTTTGAAGAGTAGTGTGAAAGGCCGGTAAAAGTATCTAGGTAGGCTCCGATGCCTACTACCCCATACAAAGGAAAACCCAGATAGGCAATGAGATAACAAACCCTATCTTACAGCCTGCGCTAGCTTTTGACAAGGACGCTTAAGGAGATTAATAGCATTGTAGACTCCAGTTTCTCTATCTATATTTCCATAGCCCTTCCGGGGCCCCTAGTAGTCTATCGAGAGATTGGTGAAACTGAAGTCGTCCACAGCGAAGAGAGAATAAGCGTCCTCTGCTTCTTGTTGTCGTCATTGCTGTTGTCGTCATTGTTGTTGTCATCATCGTTGTTGTTGTCGTTGTTGATCTTGTTATTCTTTTTGCTGCTGTTGCAATTGCCAAGGTACCTGTGCTGGTGTCGTAGATGCCATAGTGGAATCAGCTGAATCCGATGCACGCCCATAATTCTACGATGGGGAAAGTCTCGGCCTTTTCCGTGGATTTTTGGTTGTACTCTGAACAGACTGGGGTCCGTTGTTAGCTTGATTGACACCTAGCATCTCTACAGTATTGAGAAACACGCGGCCCAGCGCGGTACGCTGGTCGTCGTTAAGTCCAGAGAGACACTCTTCCTGATCGAGGTTGCGCATGAACATGAGGTGAGCGTCAGCTTTAGCTTTGTCTTTAAGTCCTGCTGGCTGTTGTGCTGAGACGACTAGAGTAGATATAAGATTTTGAAGGCCTCAAGGATACGAAGCAGAACTTACATGGATTTCTCGGAACCTCATCGTCAGGCCGGAGCTGTTTGAATATTAAATACCACTTCCACAGTTGAGACCTGGCGGTCTTCTCACTTGTATTAGACCCGTTTATGTAAAGCAGCACATTGCTGTCTACTCGTCGCTTCAGCAGTGTCATGGTCTCGCCACTGTGAAGGGGTGGCAACGTATCCGACTTCATTGCTTTATCGATACAGTTTCTGAGATTGTCGATGGCTTCCTTGCGCTCGAGAGATATTCCGAGTCCGTTAGGCTCCCGATTCAGCTCCTCCAACTCTACGGAGCTCAGCACTCGACAAGGTCCTTGCGGTTCGATGTCGCGGACGTGTTCTTCCAAAAGTTGTTGGGTGAGAAATAAACGTTTGCATCGCTGACAAGCATCAGATAGTCGATGATTTGGAAGTTTTCGATTCTTGCCCCAAGCATGATCACTATTGAATCAATCAGTGTCTGTCTATAGATGGCAAAAAGTTCGTTGTCGACTTACTTCCACAAGTGCCGTACTTCAGTTGACGTCTTGACATACTTCGCGGTACAGGCTATACCGGCGGCTGAATACCAGCAGATGAGGGGACGAGGTTGGGGATTGGCGGCGGGCTTTGCCCCAATTCCATCTTCAATCCCGAGATTTGGATTGTTATTGTTATTTGATGTCCCGTTTTCTTGAAGGCTATTTTCCCCGGAAACGCCAGATGCAAACGACGCAGTGAACTCGGTCTCGTCTTTCGTGCTGGAATGGGCCGAGTTTTCAAAAAGTGAAGCTTTGAAGAGAGTGCACAGGTTGTAGCGTTCGACATCGCCTGGACAGGGCCGCGACTGTGTGGTACCGCTATTGGTAGGAAGGGTCTGCGGCGTGAGTCCCGGTGCGTTGCTCCTATTAAGGATCAATTCCGTCATGAATCCTGCGATTTCACTTTCTCCATAGTCGCTGGTCTCTGTACTATCCGCTGCCAAATCGTAGGGTTGCAATCCGAATACTGGATCTTTTGGTGGAACACTGTCATTCGGCGACGGCAACGCCCAGGGCAGACAACTTATCCAATCTTCGAATCGATCTGAAGATTCTGACACGAAATTGGATGGCAGTGCCATCTCCTAAATTCTCAACCAAGAATACTTGTGAAGGCGACGTGGGTGAGAAAGAAGCGATCATAGCCAAATCAGTGCAATGAACACTCCAGGCTCAGTGGCGCGGTTCGCAACGGCGGAGAAGTGCACGTCGGTTTCGTGAGGCTGACGCGTCGGCGATATCAATAGGCGATAGGGAGGCAAGAAAGTTCGGACAGCGAAGCGTCAATCGACAGGCGGCGATTCGCACTCGGATCTGGGTCAGGTAGGAATAGAGGATGTGGCATGATGAGGACGGGCGAGAAAAGTTGGGAGAAAATGGGGGAAGAGGACGCGACACGCAGCAGGCGCGACAGACAACAGGTGCGAAGTTTCGCGGTGGCGGACATTTGTTGAGACGATTGCCCAATGAGTGTGCGTTGCAATTGTACTCGAGCGCCACAGGGGCTGAATCCTGTATATCCCCTGTCCCCACATCGCATACCAGGGATCGGCAAATTACTCCACACTTAAACACACGCTTCCGCGACACTTCGCGGCTGAGTCTGCCTTGCTAGAGCTCTCGGTGTTCCTCCATCTCGTCTCTTCGATCCATTGCAAGTCTCGCGCGTCATCCAAACGTGAGTTACTTCCTCTGTCTTCGCGCCTTGTTGTGCTCGCGTTCGCCTCTTTACATCTACCTTCGCAAGGGCTTCGTCTCAACACCACGAAACTTCGCAAGCCATGTAGATATCCATAGAAACACGGTGCCAGGACCATAATTCTGCGCTCTGTCAAACCATTCTTCTCCTCTTGCCCACCGTCGGCCGTCAAACAAATACATGGTCTTCGTGATCGCACTTCTTCTCCATGATTCCTCCGCCCCTCATGTCACCGTCTTCTTCATTCTCGTCTGTGGAACAGGAATTGAACCAGGCCCAATCTGAGCACTTCGAGTGGCTCATCGTCATCAGGGAAAAGCGCGGCCATGTCATGTACAGCGTCGAGCTGCACCGTCGTATGACCGTTACCACTGCTGTGCACGCCATTGAAAAGGCCTACAACGACACTCAACCGAGAAACCCGTGGTACCACTCCCGGGCTCAGCTCGAACATGCTGTCATGTCGTCCGTAAGTTTGCTTCCGTTCGCACTCCGCCGATAGTCCGACAACCTACAACCAGTCTTCCACAGCCTACCCACAAAGCCCTGACCATTCATCTTAGTTCACTGTCAACCCTGATCCAGAAGCTCAAGACTACCCCCGCGCCTTCATCCTCAAATCCAGCACTCCACTCTTCGAGCTCACCGAAGCCTTCCATAACCCTTCTCTTCTCAACGGCACCAGCGCCTCTTCCATCCGCGAGAACCCGCATCTCAATCTCGCAAATGGCAGGAGTCCCATTGACAGCCACTATCATGCCATTCTGATCAAGACCGAAGCCAGCCGCTGGCTTATCGTAGCAGGAGTGGCCGGTACCATCGTTGTCGCGGCAGTCATTGGGTTTGTCGTTGGATACATGGTTGGGGATGCTCAATTGGGTGTTGCAGCTGGGGCGACTACCGTTGCTGTTCTCGCCTTCGTTCAGGGCTGCTTGTTGTTATTGTAGTAGGTGGGGTGGCGTGAGCTTTGTGCCGAAGTAGGACAAGCTGAATTAGGACCAATGATGCTGTATGAATTGTTAATAGACTCACTGAAATCTTATGAATCGCACCGTTTTGGTGAGTCAACCATTGGTAGACCAGAAAAATGAGTACCAAGCCATTTCTTGTAGGGGTACCTCTGCATGGTGGCCACACCAAATGCCGATTTTAAGTGGATTTGTCACACACCATTTACCAAGTTTCTTGATCATACTATGCATCGTCCTAACGGCGCACTTTCCCATTATTTAGAACTAAAAGTAGTGGTATCTTAGTCTTAGATAAGTTCTCAAACGCTGTTGCGTCTCTGAGGATACCAGACAGCATACTGTAACATAACTTTTATAATAATGGAGCATAAGACACCAAACCTCGACCTACATGTTCGCCAGTATTGATCATAGAGTACTTCAAGAGTTAATTACGAATGCTAATGCTGCTGTGGTATCGCCAACTCTCTTTCAACAGTGAAGTCTACCTGTTTCTCAATTCCAGCCATAGGTCTCAACTCGGTCTCACTGCCCCAATCGTTACTTTCTTTTCTACCCTGTTCACCACTCGGCAATCTTAGGCCTGTGTTATGACTCCACCTATGTCCACTGAATACACGGCGGGCCTTGCTTTGAGGTCCTGACGCACTTGGCTCTGCAGAACCATATACTGGTGGTGCAGATGGACTTGGTCGAGTGCGCCCCATTGTTCCATTCAATAGGTATCTGAACGCCGGCAGTGTAGCGACTATGACAGATACAGATGACTCGATGTGGCTCCACATACTCAGTAGCACAGGTCCATCAGCAAGTGCGGCTGGGTCGGGATTCGAAGTAGCCTTTGTGACTTGCGCAAGCCGTGCGAACGCGAAGGCGATGATGATGGTACCGAGTGAGAAGATAATAGCAAGTCCAAACTTCTGCTGGGCTGAAACTTGTAATTTGCGCAACAGGTTCAGAGGGAGAAGCATTATGAGAGCATCAGCAACGACGTCTGCGCTTGTTGCGAATTTGATGGAGGCATCGGCTCGGATGAGATCCTCTGGATCGCTACACCCAGCTATATAAGTTAGAAAGTCATATAGAACCCGTTGGAATGAGATACTGACTCGCGCTCCAGTATCTGGATAATGGACGGCAGGTCAAGAAGTTTGAGGCGATTGATGCGAGGTAGAGAAGTAGCACCAATATAAAACATAACCACCAAGCGCGCATGTATATGGGTAGTCCAATGACCAAACGCCTAAAGAAGAACAGGATAGAGAATTTGGCTAGATATGTATATCAGTACAAGATTCTCCGGCAGCGTCCTAGCAATCTCAACCTACCAGCCCATAGGGTTGTCCAAAACAAAAGCATCTGGCTGAACATGAGTTTGAGTGCAGTGCGTGTCCTTTCGACGAACTCGTCCGGTGGTAGTGGCATCGGGGTATTTGGATCTGCTATAGCTGCTTTTGAGTATTCCTGAGCGAAGAAGAACTGTGGTAGCAATCGTGTGATAACCACAGAGAGAGCCGTTAAAGATAGCAAGCCAAAGAAGACGAAGTGATCGTCGGCGAACAGCCGGTGTTGGGACTTCCATCGTAGAAAACCTCTCAGAGCAGTTAAGACGAATGACGCACCCCACAGACACCATATCAACGTCTGTGTCATGTTAACATTGCAGCATGTATTGATGTTTGACTTACCATAAGTTCGGTGTAGTTCAACGTCATTTTGGCTGTTACTCGTTATTGACAGAGTGGAATGAATGACACTGTGACTGGCACGATCAATTCTTAAGAGACATTTGTCTACGGGAGGGACATGCGAACTAGATCCTATGGAACGGTAAGTACCGTGGCCGCGACCCAGGATACATGTCAGCCCTTCAAGTCTCAAGTCCACATGCGTTTGGCAGCCACTATAAATCCCCCCACAGAAGGCCTCGATACCCTCCAGACATGGAAGTACAACGGTTCAAACAGGAGACGGTAAAATTACGGCGCAATCCTTCCAACATGCATACATACAACAAGATGGCCTAGAAATCAGAAGTTGGATCGACAGGTTCAAGGAGCTGTCGACAAATCAACGGAACCGAGAATGAGACATCATCTTATCGCTGCCGGGGTTTGCTCATTGAAGTCATAGCTCCGTTACAACAACTGATTTCCATTTTCGCGGGAAGCAAATCAAGGTTCCCGGGAGCCTGGGCCAATCCTTTGGACACGGCTCGGTTACGCTGCCCCTTCCTTCGCGTTCCTTCGCGTTCAAGCTTTTCATCCACCCGGCAAAGGTGAGGCACAGTTAATTCGTACCCGCTACCGGTACGCCGAACTTCCGGACGAATACATGTCTGCGAATGACGCACAAACTCGCCCGATCGAGGGGAACATGTTCAGGTTGGTAATGAGGCGCGATACAAGCAGATAAACGACGATATGAACCTCAAAGGGCATATGATCTTGATCTGTGACCACGGTCACAAGGAGAATCACAAAGAAGACGTATCTTCTTGCGTTGGTAGGGGCCAAACGATGTTTATTGGTCAATGTGCGTAGCGAAAGGATCTAAACACTGTAAATAGCGCACCCGAATTGATCAATCATGCATCGGCGACTTTCCAGCCACCAGGCATCAGGTTGGTATATACCCGAAGAGGATCGTACTTTGTACGAATAGTCTTTAGCCTTCTCAAGTTGGCAGCCGGATAGCTTTGGAAAATGGGCTGCCCTTTTCCAGCATCATTCATGTACAGGTAATCAGCGCTCCATGATTTTGCCTTGAGCAAGCCGTTAATGCTTGCTGTGATCTCATCAGCAGCAGCGCGTACCTTGACATCATCGCTTGCTGACGTCCAAGTGAAGTTCTCCACCATCCAGAAGAAAGGTGCCTTGGAGACATCCACACCCTGAGGGTTACCACCAGTCTTAGCACTGTGCGACAGAAATGCCTTGGTAACAGGCTGGAAGGTTATTGAAGCCTGTAGGTTGGCAACACTGGGCAGCTTGGCATTGACGCCCGAGATGAAGGTGTCGTGAATGAGCTGAACAGCGTCTCGATCGACGACAGACGAAAGAGTGCGGAACTCCTGGCGTAGCCCTAATGGTTGAAGAGCGTCTGTAGCTGAGATGTAGTCCGAAAGTGGTTGCAGTGCGTACGAATCGGCGACAGGGGTGAGCTTCGGCGCAGTGAAGTTCTCAAACACTTCTGGGTTGTCAGTAGTGGAGTGGTAGAACTTAGCAGCCGCATAAACCGTCATGTTTGCCGCAGGGAAGGTAAGGATCGTAGGAATAATGGCAGCTTTGGGATCGATGCCGCCGTATTTCCCGAAGTTATAAACACCATCCAGGTAGCCTTTCGATTGCGACTGGTCAAATTGTCCGATGCCAGCGTGAACATCGCTACCCTCTACTGGTCGTAGGTCGAATCGTGTAACGATGCAGAAGGAGTTTCCGCCACCCCTCAAGGCCCAGAAAAGATCAGAGTACTTGTTCGTCGCTGTTGCTTCAACGATAAGTCCGCTGGACAACACGCACTATCGCTGTCAGATCAGAGCTAAACTTTAGAGATGATGCCAACCTACTTGGTACTTCTGAACGTTGTCCGAAGCAAATCCATACTCCGAAGAATAAAACGAAATTCCCCCGCCGAGTAGCAGACCAGGAACACCCACGTGGCCCACACGACCTCCAACAGCCGCGAGTCCGGACGGTTTGAGATAAGCGTAGACGTCCCTCCACCTATTCCCGGGACCAACGGAGACGATTGACTTGTCTGTCGAAAGAGACAAGGTCGTCAAGTTGGACGAAGACAGCAACACACCGGAGCTGTCGATTCCGTTGTAGCCAGGTATTGGCATATGTCCTCCTCCTCGCATAGCGAATTTTGAGAGAGTGAGTGTCATCGTAGTGACCGCGTACGAAACTTGTTGTGCATTTTGAGGAACGAAGACGCACGCAGGACTGCTGTAGACTGTGGCTGACCAATAGGCTGTGGATTCTTAGCAAATATCGCGCTTGCGTCTTGATTGTAAACACATACGCTCTTGCGTCTCATAGGAGTAGCCCGAAGTTCCAGGTAGAAAGGTGCTTTCAGGGTATTTGGCCTTCAACTTTGAGCAGGCCACTTTCTCACCACCAAAGAGGCTCTTGGCTGCTCCCGTTGCAATTGACGGTGCAGCAAAGAGAAGAGCCGCAACACCTGCTAAAAGTACCATGCTGGGTCTAAGGAAATGATGCCAATAGCTAAGTACGAACGAGATAGACAGGCGGATGCTGATGTTATGAAGAATATCGGACGGACATAAAGTATTGCCTCCGCGGCTCGACTCCGTTTGGAAGCATGTTGGTCTAGCGCACTTGGGTCTCCCAGGCACCGGAGCTGTTACCAATTCAGGACGCAGGAAGGATCGTCTGCATGTTCGACTTGTGAACTATGCGATGGATCGCAAGCGAAGAAGTCGTACCGCTTGTACATACAACGTAGGTGTGATTTTTGTGTCTGCGATACACCCATCAAGGTACACGAGTGATGGCTCCCATGAGGTTGTCACAGCGTAGCGACGAGGACATACTTGAGTTATCAAACCTTGGGATGCAAGGATGAAGGGACGGTCTGCCGTATAAAGTACGCGTGGTGCGGCGCGGGTTAGCTGGGCTACTAGCGCCAAAACGCCCCTCATCCTTCGGGCGAGGCCCCCACCGCTTCATCTCGCGGCCGCCCCATCGGTTGAGACCCTGGGTTCGATTGACCACGACTCGGGATTGTAGTGAGGTTACGATTCTCTAGTTGTCACTTCATCGTCGGGTTATGTGAGTTCGCCGACCCTGTTTGTAATCATTACAAAATACCTACATAGCGTTTCTCAAGCACTGCGAAGCACATTCTTTCTGCTTAGAGGAAGCAGACTTACATTATCTTAAGATAGGCTTGGGAGTTGGTAAGATCAATACAACTCGAAGACTTGTTTGCATGCCTAGGTAATTCATCTGGGAAGCAAATATGACGGATGACGTTATTTCTAAGTCGCTCGTAACAAAAGAATCACTCTAAAAACATACCAATGATCATACTAAAGATGTATTAATATGACCATGTCAGATCTCTGCGTAGAATATAGCGAGAGATCAAAGCTGAAGTTAGTCTGGCTGTCGCTTTTACATCAGAACAGCACTATGTTGACACGGTGATCAATAGCTTCATAGCGCTGCAGTGGTCCCATAATCTCAGTCCTCATGGCGCGCAGTAGATACAACTTGCAAAGCGGGACGCAGCCTTGCAAAAGTAACCCATACCAGCAACGCCAACACAGTCTCGATGACTATCGCGAACCGGAAGACACCAATACCCATGCCGTCAATAACAGCACCTATAGCAAACGGTGAAAGCGCTGCTCCAACCTGACCTAGAGAAGCCACAAAGGAAACAGCCGCAACATGCAACTCTGCCGGCAACAACCGTGTAAGCACAACAACTCCTGAAGGAAACATCGGACCCATGATAAACCCTAGCATTGTCATCAACGCCACAGAAGCAGCTGGAGACGACAAAGCAGCGAAGAGAATATCTACCCCAACAGCGAGAATAAAGTACAAACCAGTCGCGCGCCGCACCCCCATTCTATCTGTTGCAAAACCTAATGTGAGTCGTCCAACAGCCATGCCAACCCAGTACCCCGTAGAAGATAGACCAGCGACGTAAGCGGTTGAGTGACGGCTGCGCAGCATGAATGAGACGATCCATCCCGAAATCGCTGTCTCGATACCAACGTAAGTTAGAAAGTACGCTGCGCAGAACCAAGTAGCTCGGTATTTGAACACGGCCTTGACGTCGATCTTGGAATCGTTGATTTTCGACTGCTTGCTTTCGCGGTAGACGGATGCGGTTTCGTTACGGAATGCCATGACTAAAACCAAGAAAGAGAGCGCGCATGCTCCAGCCTACAACCATTAGTCAAGGAAGTGAAAGACCTTGGATTCAGGGAACTCACCAAGATAGAATACCAGGTCCACCACGGAAAGTGCCTGGTGGTCAAAATAGTAACGATAAATGGACCCATCGCCCCACCAACACTATAACTCCCATGCAACAGCCCGCTCAGAGTATTCGCCTTCTCCATACTCCCCGCCCACGCACACCAACTCCCATCCAGCAGCCCCGTTCCCAGCCCCTGGAACATAAAGGCAACTAGCACCCACCCAAACCCCGGATGCGTTGCTACTATCGTCGTAGCCAGGATTTGTAACAAAGGCGCTGCAACTGCGATTCCTCGTTGACCAAAGCGGTGATGCACAGTATCGCTACACTGTGCTGCTACAACGTAGCCGATGGGTGGGACGAGAAAGATGCAAGATACTTGGAGGTCGGTGAGATGGTAGTAGGAGGAGAGGAGAGGGAGGACGGTGCCGATTGAGGAGTTGAAGAGGCCGAGTGTGGTGAAGGAGTACATCGCTGCCGCAATCTTCAACATCAGGCGCGTGTCCATCTTTTCATCGACATTGCGGGTAGTCTCGCTGTCTCCTAGAGAGCTATTGTTGTCATGGAGAAGCGGTGAATCTTCGTGGTTGGTGGGTTGGTGTGCCATGTTGTTGCGACGTTGCACATTCAGGTCGCGATGCCAGATTGTTAGTTGCGTTGTTTTATGTCAGTAAAATCACGAATGCATTTTTGACGAGTTGCGAGCAGTTCGAGAATGAATGTTGATTGATGATATGGATAGCTGATCGTCAGTTCCGGCGGAAACTGCTGTCGCGGAATGTCGCTAGGAACAGGTAAGCGTCACCCATGCGGCTGGCCAATGACATCATCACGTCGCGTGTTGTGAAGTGATGCCCAACGCCCAGGATGTCGTGCTGGTAAACATATAGTTGCATACCGTAAGGGTGCCAAGCGCTGACACAGACGCATTACAAGTAGTTTTTCATGTTTCAACATGTTGGGATCGGCAAAAATGAAGCTTCTCAGTTTTCGTACGCCAGTACCTGCGTAATCGCAACTGTTTTCGTGTCGCGCAGGAATTGTAAGATTCCTTCCAGAAAAACATTCTGGTTGAGGTGGACTACGCTCGTTTCGAGAATGACATCTAGCCTTCGATAAAGACTCAGTCTTCATCATCCGAAGATGCATAGCCTAACCCGAGCGAAAGCGTGTTTACGAGCTTGGAGGAAGGTGGCCCTGCTGATGGCTTTGTCGCGTTCACGGATGATGTCGCGGGACTCTTTACGCCGTTACCGCCGCCTGTAGTGGAAGGTGTGTTCGTTTTGACATCTGGCGTAGACTGCTTCGTAGCCTTTACTTCGTTGGTGCTGCTCTTCTCTTCAGGCACGGAGCTCGATTTCCTAAGCTTTACGCCCTTTAGCAGACCAGCTTCAGTACCCTTCTTCCTCTTTCGTCCAACTGCCGCCCATTGGCCGGCATCCTCCTCTTGAGGTGTTTCTGTGCTCTCTTCTTCGAGACCCCGAGCTTTCCTCTCGGCTTCTTCGCGCTGTCTGCGGAACAAATCTAATTGTTCAAAGGTTTCTTTCTTTACATTGGCTTCTTCCTGGCGCTTCTTTTCCAAGACCGAATCCAGGTAGTCGGCTTCTTCGTCGTCCAGAGCAACATGCAGCTTGTACCGCGCTCTCTCTTCAAACTCAGCTTGTTTCTTGTCTTTGTTGGCTTGCAAGACCTCGAAAAGACTCTTCCCGTCTTGCTGCTTCGCTAGATCGGCTTTGGCGCGTCTCGCATCTTCAATCTCTTGCTGGGCCTTCTTCCACTCATCATCGCGTTCGACTTCCTCACCAGCCTTGCCGCCACTGACGAATCCTGAAGACATTGCGGTCCACACTTATACGGCTAGCGCAGGTTGCTGATGGCGGTGCAGTGGAAGCGGGAATGTTCAACGGCAGAACGCCAAAAAATGGTACTGTTCCGACTTCCTTTTGGGTTCTAGCGCCAGGTGGGTAGCGCTCCACCCCCCACCCGTTTAACCTCACCCGCGGGCAAATCGCGTCCTGATACGTGGAGGTTTTATGCCGGTGCTTAAAGTTGCTCGGTACAGATACCAACGTGTTGGATGAAGGATGGCCCTGACGTAGGAGGGGTACACAACGCGTCGGCACTGCCCCTCCAGATCACCCTTCAAAAGTTTGCCATTCCTGCCTTCTTTCAAATTTCCTACATCCCAAACTTTACCTTACAATTTATGATTCGTACCCTAGCAAGAATGGCACCCAAGAACTGGACCAAGGAGCACTTCACGCTCAACACTGGCGCAAAGATTCCCGCTGTCGGTCTCGGCACATGGCAGTCAAAGCCTGGTGAGGTTCGCGAGGCCGTCAAGGCTGCCCTCCAGGGAGGATACCGCCACATTGACACCGCGCTTGCCTACGGCAACGAGAAGGAGGTCGGCGAGGGTATCAAGGACTCTGGTGTACCCCGTGAGGAGATCTGGGTTACCACCAAGCTTGACAACCCATGGCACAAGCGCGTTGAAGAGGGCATTACCAGCTCTCTGAACAGTCTTGGTCTCGACTACGTTGACCTTTACCTCATGGTAAGTTGCTCAACATCAAGGTATACTCTCCGATTGGACTAAACACTGACGCGGTGACAGCACTGGCCTTCTTCCACCGACCCCGATGATCTTAAGAAGCACTACCCCGACTGGGACTTCAAGGACACCTGGGCGGAGATGCAAAAGCTCCCCGAGTCTGGCCGCGTAAAGAACATTGGTGTTTCCAACTTCGCCATCAAGAACCTCGAGAAGCTGTTTGCCGATTCTCGCTTCAAGACCACACCTGCCGTCAACCAGATCGAGCTCCACCCCAACAACCCCTCGTAAGTCATGTGTTGGCAGCTCACTCATGTATGTGTAAACTGACAGTGAGACCAGCCCCAAGCTCCTCGATTACCTCAAGGAGAAGGGCATCCACGCCACCGCCTACTCCTGCCTCGGATCAACCGACTCACCTCTTTACAAGAACGAGAAGCTCAAGAAGCTCGCCGACAACAAGGGCAAGTCTGTCCAGCAAGTCTTGCTCATGTGGGGTCTGCAGCGTGGCTCCAGCGTCATCCCCAAGTCCGTCACAGCATCCCGCATCCAGGGCAACTTCCAGCTTGACGGCTGGGAGCTGACTGATGAGGAGATGAAGGAGATTAGCTCGCTGCCTGAGCGCTTCAAGGTTTGTGGTGACGCCTGGCTACCGGTCAAGGTCTTCTTTGGCGATGACGAGTAGGTCTTTACGTACAATGATACCATGAAATAGAAAGGAATGAACATGTGACTACACATACACCCGAAGTGTCAGTGCGTGAAGCGTTTTTGGTGTTGCGGAGTAACGTCGGACATGACCGTGGGAGCCTGCGCGACTGCCTTGTGGCGATTTATCAGCGTCATGTGAGAACGCGTTTGGCGCTAGCAAGACGCGCCTGATCTAGATGCCCGTTCGCCACTCATCTCTCTTTCTTGAACACTTCACACTCGACTCCAGTACAACGACTAATTCACACTTTTTTACCGTCCCATATCCGTCAAAATGAGTGCCGAAGAAGAGCAGTTCGATGATAGCAGCATGGGTGGCCCTGGTGCCCCCACTCCGGTGTCTGCGCTTGAGGTATGCTTTACTTGACTTGGTACGCGCAGCGGACATTGACGAGATCTCAGGGAGTCAATGGATTGACTGCACGCGACATCAAATTGATTGTTGAGGGCGGCTTCAACACCGTAGAGTCAATTGCCTATACGTATGCCAGCCACTGTGTGTAGATTGGCCCCGCCACTAACGACAGACAGGCCACGGCGAGCGCTCGAGCAAATAAAGGGCATCTCAGAACAAAAGGCCTCAAAACTACTTGCAGAGGGTAAGCAGCAATGACGCCGTTATATTGCCTGTTGCTTACTTGAACAGCCTCCAAACTTGTGCCTATGGGCTTCACCACGGCTACCGAGATGCACTCACGTCGTAGCGAACTGATTTCGATCACGACCGGCTCAAAACAACTGGACACTCTTCTGGCAGGTGGAATTGAGACCGGCTCGATCACAGAGATCTTTGGCGAGTTTCGAACGGGAAAGAGTCAGATTTGTCATACACTCGCCGTTACCTGCCAGCTGCCGTTCGACATGGGCGGTGGTGAGGGCAAATGCCTATACATCGACACTGAGGGCACCTTCCGACCAGTACGATGTTTGGCTGTGGCAAATCGATTCGGACTTTCAGGAGAAGAAGTTCTAGACAATGTTGCTTACGCGCGCGCATACAACTCTGATCACCAGCTGGAGCTTCTCAACCAGGCCGCCCAGATGATGACGGAGACACGATTCTCATTGCTCGTCGTCGACTCCGCCACCGCACTATATCGAACGGATTTTGCAGGGCGTGGAGAGCTTTCGGCTAGGCAAACACATTTGGCCAAGTTCATGCGCACGCTACAACGGCTTGCGGATGAGTTTGGTATTGCCGTCGTAATCACCAACCAAGTCGTTGCACAAGTGGATGGTGGGCCAAGTGCCATGTTCAACCCAGATCCGAAGAAACCTATCGGAGGAAACATCATTGCGCACGCAAGTACGACGCGCCTCAGCTTGAGGAAGGGCAGGGGAGAAACGCGTGTTTGCAAGATCTACGACAGCCCATGTCTGCCAGAGAGCGATTGCCTGTTCGCCATCAACGAAGACGGCATTGGCGATCCCAAGGAGAAGGACCTCGAGGAGAGGGCCAATAGGTGATGAGGCTGATGGAGGGGCTTCGGCCCCGATTCGCATTGCCGGTGCAAGGCGTTATGGGGCGGTGACGATCTAGATGTGTTTGGTCGTGGACGATTTATGTTTATGCAATGCGTATGATATCCTAATACAAAACTTGAACCGAAGCACATCATGGTTGTCCACTTCTCTCGCGTGCTGCGTGATGCGAGCCCCCCTGCAAGAAACGTCAAGGTGATCTGCGGTGAAGGACAAAGCCGCGTCCGTGCACGCGTGCGCCAGACAGCTTCGTGCATGCACCGCGGCGACTGTTTTTGTGAGCTTTACCTTCGCGCCGACAGCTGCAACTCCAACCCAACGCGCGCCACCATTCCTCGACTCCTGCGACGACAGTCGAGACCCTTTCGCATGCGATCGCCATGGTTCAAAACGGAGGCACATGTCTCTACAAAGAGGCGCGATTGAACATCGAACCCGCCTATCCTGGCTCGACAATCGTATTTTCGATACCAACACACGCTCCTTTCGGGGTCCGAGGCACGGTGAAGCGCAGTCTAATCACAGAGCACTATGCAGACAAAGACGAGGAGGCCTTCACGAGGCGTCATCTAGCCACGGATGGATCCATGTACTTTCGGCAAAACCATGCATACCCGCGAAGCTTCCTCTGGCGGGTGCTGGACAACAGAAAGATGTTGGAGATACAGTCCACCGACTTGGACCACGACTTTGCCGACAAGTTCGAGGCCAACCTTACGCTCCTCTTCCAGTTCCCCGCCGAGATTCGACCCTTTTGCGTTGCCTTCGCTGAGCCCGCTGACCGAGACGCATTGAGCGTCTTCGTAATCACGACGAACAACGAGCTCTATACCATGACTCTACACCGCGACTTCTTCTCCACTCCCGCAGCCTCGGAGCAGGAACCCGAGACGTGGTGTAAGAGGTTCGAGCCGGCCCTCTTCAGCGGGCGCATACCCTACAGATTGGTCGCCGAAAGCGCAGAGGAGCTACTTGTAACGCTTGACGATGGGGCCATCTGCCGTCTGATTTGGGACAAGGCCAACAACACGTGGGACGGGGCGCGGTACCAGCAGAGTAACTGGTCGGTACGCGGTCTTCTGTCATGGAAAGCGCAGCCCACAGTCAGGTTTGAAAACGCAGACTTTGCTGTATCAGCCGCCGCTGCGGTCGCGATATCACCGAACAAGCAACACATCCTCTCAGTGTGTTTGGATCACTCGATAAGGGCGTGGAACATTGCGTCGGGCAAGCCAGGTGCTCACGTTGACCTCTTGGGCGCCGACGACTTTGCACTGGAAAAGTCACAAGCTTCATACTCGATTGGACCTTCGCAGTCGATGCTCATGACTGTCGTGGACGGTCTTGGGGGGCCAGGAGGCGCAGAGTATCACATCGTCACCTACTCTCCGAAGCAGCATCAATTCAAGTTCTGGGGCGTGCGGGACGCGGACGACCAGGACCATGGATTCTACGATGCTGCGCAGGACTCGGAGCTCATTCCGCCGATTGACGAACTGATGAACACGACTGTATGGACACTAGAGGAATTCCACGTAATCCCAGGACCTGGGTGGAGGGGCTCGGAGATCTGGATACGCGCTAGGTCGGGACCGAGCAGTAAAGTCTACTCATTGAAATTTGACCTCACTGATTTTGCCGACCAACGAACACAAACTTGGAAGAGCGATTGGGTGTCTGTTGACTCAGGCCCATTGACCGTCGAGGCACTAAAGATGAATCCTGCGAATCCTAGCGAGCGAGAGTTGGAGCCTGACGAGGAGGTCTCTGATCAATGGATTGACTTCCTGTTCTATCCCGGACGGTTCACGATTGCGACGTTGGAGACGGCGCTGCTCATCTGCAAAAGAGGTTCAGAGCGGGTGCGGTCAAGTCGATCGTCGAATCGGGGCAGCTTGAAAGAGCGTTTAAGCGCCACTATTGTCACCCTCGCAGTCGAGCACAGTCCGCAAACAGAAGATCTCAGCAAAGCCATAATAGCAGAGTGGCAGGCTTACTGGAGTCTGGTAAAGGATCTACATAAGCGAAGGGGAGAATCGCTATCACTCGTTTACGACCGAGCTACCGACCGGCCGTGGCTAGTGTTGAGCGACCACCTCTCTGCGATTAGGAATTGCAGCGAGTCAGAAGTCACTACACTCAACGCAGCTGCCATCTCAAGCCAGCGCGTGCTGAGCAAACCCCTGCGGCAAACCCTGGATACTTCGGAGTCTCGCGATGTGGCACGTTTATTGAACGCCGCAGCTTCCTTCCGTCAACGACTGCCATCTTTTGTCCAGCAACAGGTACAACGCCACATGGAGATGGACCTACTACAGAGCCGGAACATCACAATCTTGGATCGCATGGAATGGATCGAGGTCAACAGCGAACTCTCCCAGCATGTGACTGACGAGGATGTCACCGTCCTTGTTGAAGAGCTTGGTATGGAAGTGAAGGACTTGGGCACTGAGACATTTCTCCGAGCTATCAAGAAGCTGGACTATGAACACGATGGCCGACCTCAGTCGAGAAAGCAAATCGCAAGATATGGGCTGAGTGCGCTATCTTCAGTCTCCAAGGAAACGCTTGAGAATGACCACAATGCCCTATTGGACTTGCTTGTGCTGCTGTTGTTCATGTTCATCGAGCTGGAGGGAGAAACACATGATGAGTGGGATGCATCTGAAGTCTTTGCAGAACTTTTGCTTCGATACAAGGATTGCATGGTGGTGTCCTGGTTAGCTCGCACAGTGTGGGCTCACCAGTCTATGACGGGTCAAGCGTCAGAGCAACTGTATCGCATGTTAGGCGAGACGTACAAGACCCAGAAGCTACCTATTTCCCAGACAGTCCTCGAGGGCATTTACGGACTGCGCGCCTTTGAGGTCTTGCTACCAAAGGATACGAAGGCGGGTCTACTCACCCACTGGAGCCGGGGCTGGTTGTCTTTCATCTTCAGGGAACACGACTTTGAGAATGTCGTGGAGGATATTATGGGGTTCCTTCTAGCACAGCAAGAGTACGACCTCGCTATGGACTTTTCCAAGTTCCTTCCGGAAGGTCATTGGGCCTCTTATCTGAAGGGGCGCATGCACCTTGCACTCGGTGAGAGTGCGCTCGCGTCTTTATGCTTCCAAAAGCCTGCATATACTATGGGTAAGTCTACTAGATGCAAATTTGCCTACAGACCACTAACGTGTACAGCCCTCGGTCCAATGTTCGATGTCGCGGAAGAAGACACAGCAGGCCTGGTATCAGAAGTCGAGCGAAACTCGTTTTCCGAAGGCCTAGCACGCTACTACAGTCACGTCATCGGCCTGTTCGAGAAGGCCAAGGCATATTCCTACGTCGCGGATTTTGCCAAACTCGGTCTGCGATGTTTGATGGGCCAGGAGGATGAGGAGCTCAAGACGGACCTGCTCCAACGGCTCTTCACCGCTTCAATACAAACAGCTAGATTCCATGATGCGTATTCTGCGTTGATCAGGCACAGCGACACAGCCTTGTACG